GCAAATGTGCGTAACAATTCGCTATTAATCTCGGTATCAAAACCATAGCTAGCCTTGCTCTGTTCAGCGATGGCAATAAACTCGTCAGCATCTGACTGGTTCCATGGTCGTGGCAATGTGCCTCTATCAGCTATATATTGATGTAGTGCCAGGAAGGCCAAATGTAACTGTTCCGGATAATCGAATTTGCCGAAGTCCGTGACGAGAAACTCGGGTTTCTTCAGGGCAGTTTGAAATGGCGTAAAGTGCAAAGTTTTGGGCATCTTCACCTGCGTCACAATACCACTGCGCACGTACTCAGAGAATCTAGAGATATTTGATTTGTTTGATTAGATTAATCGAATAAGTCTCATCAAAATATAGATATATTCTTGTACTAATTAGGTATGTTATAATATTAATTCTTTTGATAAAAATAATAGAGGATTATTAAACAGTGTAAAAATTGGCTGATCAAAATCTATGTATATCCCTCGCACTAATTATATAGAAAATTAGTGAAATAAGTTTTCACACATGTGATCCCAGTGAACTAGTTTTCATACATGATATAGCTTATAATATATAAATTAAACAAAAGATGTCATAGACACAAGGCTTAATAATGAATAATTCTTGCCATGTATCAAAGGTGTAAAATTGTACTCATAAAGTACCTTTGATACAACATAGTTCAAACACTATCCATTATTAAGCCTTGTGTCTATAGCATCTTTTATTCATCACATTATATGTATCTACATTATATGTAAAACTAACTTATTATTTCACCAGGACTCAATTTTCCACATAATTAATATGGGATCTTTTTAAGTCTTAGGAAGATACTTATAAGATAGCTGTATGCTTCACCTGGAAGTATCGCCAATGCTGAAAGTGTATGGTCCCAGCACTTTGATCTTAATCGGCTCACACCCATTTAATTCGGTCATGCCCTGCACTTCGGAGAAAGTCACATAGTCGCCGTCTTCCATACCATGGCGAGTATCATCCAGGCATGTGACAACGCCTTCACTATCGCGGGAGATGCTGGCAACCATCGCGCTCACCGGCGATTCGCCATTTGTGTCCACCACTGTGAATGTCTCACCGAAATCGCAGAATACCTGCGAGAAGAGGCCACGGGTGTCGGCAAGTATTAGGGCAATGTCGTTGGCGCGAGTAATCTGCGAGATGCGTAGCTGCTCGGCTAGTGGTGTTTCCGTCAACACCACTACCTTGAACTGTTGGATGTATGTCTCGTTCAGCGGACCGGAGTAGTGACGAGTAGGCACATAATTGTTCAGCTCTGACAGGCGTTGACAACACGCTGCCGCACGATTCTTACCTATTGAACAAATTTTTATTTAAAGATTTAATTAAAAACCATTAATTCTCTATAATATTATATGCACTATTACTAATTGTTAAATTAAAATAATTACAAAGCTACAATAGTAGCCTTATTAATTTCGATATTAACATGCCAACATCTTATAAACGATAAATTTAGGTCGCTTGTTAGTAAAGAATACTTTTTAATTATAATCCGATTATATCTTTTGTTATAAAAATTGTTTTACATCTATGCATAGATTATAATGATGTAAGGAAAAATTTTAGAAAAATTAATTCTAATTATGTGTGAATTAATTAAATATATACATATATCAATATTATACTTATAATATTAACTTAATTTCATGTATTTAATAATATAATGTCCAAAAACTCTTTCTCATGTATTCTAATGGTATTTTGGAATTCAACGTAGCTTTAGAACAAAGAGTATAGTATTTAAGTTGCAATATTCTGCAAGACAACCTATTCATGATGACTTGCATGATGACTAATAGCATAGTTTATATTTTTTATATCATTTTTAATGCATAAGAGAAATAGTAAGTGTAATCGTGCAATAGAATTATAATTCGCTTGACAATAGCAACAGCTGTGCCTTATCTCAATTTAAATCTTATCACTGTATAGATTAGAATTGCGCAGAAGTTTATCGCGAAGAACTAAAGCCGAATTTGTGATAAATAAAAAAAAACTCCATTTTCTTTTTTTTTCCTGCAAATATATAAAATCTATTAATTTTTAATTCGTTTATTTTTGTATCGAATTTCATTTTTAACGTAAAAAAAGAAAAGTGCAATTAAAACAAATGTCTATTTTTTTTATTCCTGTACTAGAGAATCTCGTTCCTCGCTCTCACCAAATATATACCAAATATATACCAAATATATATCTATTTCACTTTAAGTTCCAAAAGTGTATATTAATTCAGCTACAGAAAACATACCTCTAGTATATCTTCATAGAGAAAACACTATATATTTTTTTTATACATATCTACTCCTTTTGAAACATAGTACCATATTCTTTCTTCTCAATAGACTTCTCACTTTTCCAAGGTTTGTTTTCTACAGCTAAACCAATATACACTTTTGAAACTTAAAATAAAATAAATATATATGTTTGTTATTTGGATAAAGTGAGAAAGAAAGTTCTAATACAGTCTAGTATAGGAATAAAAACAAGTTCCACAATTTACATGAACTTTCGAAAAAATTAAGAAAAATAACATGTTACGTTATGCTTTTGAATTTAAATCTCTACTTTTCTGGTTATGTCTTTTAATTTAAATCTGTGTTTTTCACTGCTTATACAAATGAAAAAACGCGCGAGCTTCTCTTGGCCTTTGGCGCGTCTCACGTGTTTCCGACCGGCGTTGTTCGGCGCGCGTACGTTTCCTCACCTACGTCTGCCTCGGTAAGATAAAACTGCGAGCCTAGATCGGCCAATTTGCACATGGCATGATCGTGGAGCGTGACGGATTTGACACCGCCGAGGATGACGTTCTTAGCGATCTCGACGCCGAGTCCACCGAGGCCGGAGATAAGCACGTCCGAGGACGCCATGCGGCGCATGGCGTCGTGTCCAAGGACATAGAGCTGTCTGGAGTATAAACCCTCGTCGATTTCAGCGGGCGCCCGACCGGTGGTACCGCCGCTGCCGCTGCTGGAGCTCGTGGAGCCGTTCTTCGCCATGTCTACGTCCATCTCCGCCACGTTTGTCGTCGTCAGCTCGTCGTCGGCTCCTCCCGTCGTGCTGGCAGCACCAACGCGTCGCTTCTTGGCTGGGGGATCAACGGAGCTGTCCGCCACCTCAGCACTAGACATCGGAGGACTTGACGGACGTGTTCACAGGGACGTCGGATTATGTGCCGTCGATTATTTCCCCTGATTGTGCCTTCACTCTTTCCCTCTCTCTTTCTCTCTCTCTCTCTCTCTCTCTCTTTCTCTCACCCTTCCCTCTTTTCGCTCCCTCACTCTACCTCTCACACTCTCTCTCTCTCTCTCTGTCTCTTTCTCTCCTCACGCTACTCTCGACTTCGCGACTGCCACCCGCGCCGCACACACGGCTCGCCGAATCTCGAATGCACCTCGGCGACGACACCAGCACGCTAGACAGGTACCTAGCTAAAGACGCGCACGACCAACCTCACAGTCCTCACACTGCCATCATCAGTGCCGTCGCACACGTCGCCCCCACCACTCTCCTCCTCTTCTCTCCACTCCACTTCCTTGCTCCTGTTCGACCGCCACTGCCGCGCCGCAGTTTTGCAAACTCGTGAATACCCTCCGACCCTCGTGCCTATCCCGAAGTCTGCGACTGTCTCCGACTTTGCGTCCGTTCGTAGAGCACACCGCCAATGCCTTCTTTGTCCCTTGGCCGAGAACGTCGACTGACGTCGACCGACGCGAGAAGCCTCGAACCGCGTACACCAGCGTTCACGAATCACGACACACACCGTTCCGCCTGATCTACCGATGACCGACCAGACCGACGCTGCCGCCGCGTTCCACCGCGTTCCACCGCGTTCCTCGCCCAACCCCCTCGCGCACTCTCATTCGCTTCGCTGTTGCTACACGGATTCGTCGATTCGCTCGCTGTCCTCTGAAGTTGTCGCTTGTGCCGCGATCGACTCCGATTGGACGCTCCACGAATAAGGAGAATTCTAGAATCGGCGCGCGCCGATGATGTATATCGTTCGTGTGTTTTGTGATTTTTATTTAAATCCGATATTTGTGAATTTCTTTGATTTTACTCTCGAATGAAATTTGAGAAACCGACTGCAAGTAACGAGAAGTAGGAAGATAAATTTGAGAAATGCAAATATAGTCGCTGTCTTTTCTAAAAATGGATGAACGATTGGTCTTATCCGAATCGAGATCACGTGCGTCAGATGAAAGAAAGTCTTCGTATTCACTTGAGTGGACGACCTTGCGATATATTGATTTTATTTAAAACTCTTTTTTTTTTTGCTAAAATGTAAACGTAAGTTTTTATTTCGAGATAAAGAATAAAGACGACTTTGATCAAACTTCAATTAACTTAATTCGACCAGTAAAATTGCTTAAGATAAATCCTCTAATATACAGTTTATTGTTTTTAATATTTTTTGGATACATTAAACGTAACTAAGTTGATAATTTTGTTCGTATTACTTAATAAAATAGTGCTGATTAAATTAATTGAAGTTTGATTGAAGTCGCTCTAATGTCTATTTCTATCAGTTTAAATTAACTTTAATTTACTGTTTATCTTTTCGAATTCTTGGAACCGGAAAAAATAAAAAATAAGATAAACCGAGATTAAAGTTACTCTACATTGGCTGCGTTCGGGAACGTCGCTTGGATGCCTCCGATGCCTCGGATTCATCATCTGTCCTTGTTTAACATTAAATGCGACGTTTCCGAACGTAGCCATTGGTAGAAATGAACAAATGCGACACGTAACGGATTTCGAAATGTTCGCGCGTTATGTTGGCGGCGCGCGAGAGCCAATTACAGCGCGAGTTCGCGATGACGAGTCACGTGACGCGCGTCGTGGCGCAGCGAGGGATCGAGATGCTCGAGAAGTGCGCGGCCAATCGGAGCGCGTTTCTCGCGACGACGTGTTCTGAATGCTCCAATTGCGAGCCGGAACAGTTTGAAAGTGTTCGCGAAGGAAAACGACACGCGCGGTCTTAACATCACGCGCGAGCTTCGCATTCTCGCAATCAGTCACCAAATGTCCGTCAATCGCGAACTTCAGGAACGGCAACAAACCAGCAAAATGACGACCCGGGATATATTTCTATAAGATTTTACGAGGAACGATTCTTATTATCGAATAAGAATTCACGGTTCGTGAAAAAAACGGTTAACGAGCCATTTTTTTGCACCAATGCGCATTCGCTATGTTGAAGGATTTAGAGCTCTGAATAAAGGAAATATAATTATGTTAATTAAAAAAATACAGGTATCGTAAATATTACATCTGTCTTAAATGTTAATTTAAAATACAGATATCTAAAATTGTTAAAGAAATCTACGAATTCTGAAAGAAGATATAAGGGAAAAGGACGCACGGATCTATATATACGCAAAAACTTTCTTTCAATCCGCTTTAATTCGTCAATCCTTTTACACAATTTTACTTTATCTATATTTTATTCTGTACAATTCCCGTCGGTTTTTTTTATTTTAGAAATCTTCGACGGAGACGATTTGCAAACTAACAGAAAGACTTTATCTGCCGTGTGTGTAGAAGTGTATTTTACAGTTACAATTATATAAGTAATCGTATATGATTGGTGTGTAAATAAACGTCACTCGGTCACTCGATGTTTCTCACAACAAAAAAGAGCGAGGCTGTCTTTCTTTTCTTTTTGCATGTAGCATTCCACTCAAGATGAAGCAACACCACTGTCGGGATCTCGTCCCCTCGTCGAAAGATTCTCAAAATCGGTCGTCGTCGTCGACGGGGACCGGGCTGCCGAACGCCCGGTGCTCGTCCTGGATCCTTCCCTCGGCGTTCCTCCTGTCCTTCCCTGTACTGGCTCGCGACTTACTGCGGTTCCGCGGTTCCGGTTCCGACGTTGCAAAGGACGAGGGCGAGTGTGATATCGGCGGGAAGGGGACAGTGGGAGCGACCGAGTCCGCGGAGTCGGGGGCGGAATTGCCGCCCTCCTCGAGAGAGCCGCTCAGGATCGAATCAGGCGATCCGTTAGATTGCTCGGCATGTATCTCGGTAGCGACATTGGTGGCGGTCGCAGCGGTAGAGGTGGTGGTTGTGGTGGTGATGGTGGTGATGCTGTCCGCAGCAGGCAATTCGTTCGACCTCGACCTCGACCTCGACGGCGGAGGCTTGCCCTCCTCAGGGACCGTCGAGGTGCGTCGCAAGGTCGTCCTTTGACCTTGACTGTCACCGCGTGTGCCTTTGGTTAGTTTAGCCGGCTTTGTCCGGGATTGGGGCGTACGGGTGGCAAGCGTCAAACGTGATATCTCAGAGAACGATATCCAGACAACACAAAATTCAAAATCGGGATATGAGATGTCTTAAAGGCGTCTTTAAAGTTTCTCAAATTTGAATAAAGAATCTTTGCGAGAACTGTCTAAAAGATGTCTTATTATCCCGATTTTAAATTGTGTTGCTTGGAACAGGATGTTCTCGGCGAGATAAAACTCAGAAAACTCTTGTCTCAGATCTTTAAGATCGAAATGTAAATAGCTTACATTATATATAATCGGATTCAGAATTTCTTCGAGATTATACAATTTTTTTTATTCTAGAATCGTTTGTAAATATTAAAAATCTGCAAAACATACTTTGTTTAATATAAAAGCTGAACAAAAACAATGACAAACATATTTTACTTACAATTAAACGAAGATTTTTTTCTGTCATTTTTTAAATTAAAACAGTTCAGATTCCGTATCAGTCAATGCATCTCGAAATAATAATTAGATACGGAACTTTCTTTCGGAAAAAACATTTCCAAAATTTTTCATCGCAGATATAGAGATTCATGTTTGCTAAGTATCACGTTTGATGCAATTCGATACGATTATTCAACGTAAGCTCCTTATTACAAGCTTGAAGTACATTTACATTCACTCAGTCACACAAGAAATATATCTCTAGAAAATATTTCTTTTAAAGTTAAAAAAGAAATAAATTATATATATATGTATATAATTTTGAAATAAATTATATATATGTATATAATTTTGAAATAAACTATAATGATATATAAAAATATAATATAACGATAAAATCAAATTTTTTGCAAAAAAAGAATTATACTATAATACTATAGCAAAATAATTATGTAAGAAATAATTATTGAATTATTGTAATAATATAATAATGTAAGTAAGGCGTTATGTATTCAAAAACTTACTCGTTAGATTAATCAATGAATTAGATAGCATTAAGAACAAGCCACTTACTGATTTATATCAACCGGCGAGATTCTTTGTTCCGGGCTGATCATAGACCGATTACTGTTGTCCCATGAATTGTGTCGACGGTGACTGTTCTTGTCCTTGTAGGCTTCGGCAATGTTATTGTAACTGCCAACAATCCTACGCTTGTCGAGCTCCTTCAATACCTTCTCTGGCATATTGCCGGCTGATATGTACAATCCGCTACCAAGAGTATGCTAAGAGAAGATATATATAGCAAAATTGAAAATATTATGTATGATGTATTTATAGAGCATGAAGTGAAATCTTAAATTTTTCTTAAAACACAGTGACATCTAATAAACTTTTAATCTAACGAGAACTCTCTCTCTCTCTCTTTTAGTCTCACACATTATTTTATAATGAATACATTAAAAAAAAAGTTTTTTATATTTATGACTGTATATCATATAATTATAGATACTATAATAGTATAGGTAATAATAATTATATTTAAATAATAACTATAATAATATCATAATTGTAATACCATATAATTATAGTCTTATGGAAAGAACGGTTTTGCTGAAACAAAATCTAAAAATTAAGCTAGATACAAATTTAAAAGTAATGTATTGATCTATTAAAATAATTATATGTTCAAACTACTTGCTGGAATGTTAAAACTTTTACAGTATTGCTCATCATGTTTGAGTTTCCTGTATAATTATTAATGATTTAACAAAATTATTTTTAGATCTATCTAAATTTTTAGATACAAAATTGTATTTTTTTATACACAAATATCAAAAATTTTTCTCTTACAATTAGTGTGACTTAATTCCTTCATCAAATACAATTTATCGTTTCAGGTGAATTTCAATCGTACCTTTGAGAAGGAATACACCGGACTGGGAGCAACATTCGGATTCGTCCAAACGTTAGTCGCACCAGGTACGTCTTCGTTGTTGTCATTCAAAAATAATTCCGCCGAATACGAAGGTCTCGCTGGTATTATGGGCGATCGGCAGCAAACTCTGTAAAATATCATAAAACATCTATCATACAGATTCGCTAAATACAAAGCGTTAAGTCTAAGAAAAAAGAACTGAGAGCTGAATTGCATTATTATGAATTTAGATAGAGAAAATTCAAACAGAACTATCTTAATCATTAATTTCATAAAACATCTTGTACATGAAATACGAAGGATAGCTCGTGTGATTCTCTTAAATTTCTTGAAATATAAATCTTTCGATACTGTGAAAAAAACATATTTATGAAGCTATACAGAATATTTTTAAAAGATTTGATTCAAATATAAACGTGACACGAAAGGTCAACAAAAATAATATAGGCACGCATTTCGTATATTTATCTGCAAGCACTAATAATAACATACACGTTTCGAATATTTATCTTTGAACGCTTGCATTGGAAATATTATTCAGTTGACTTACAAGTTTACGTCCTCAAGTTTCTTGAGCAGCCTCTCGTTTTCCCGGCAAACGAGTTCCTGATCCCGTATCACTTGGTCCCGCGTGGCATAGAGCTCCGCATTCTCTCGTCGTAGTGCCTCGTTCTCGGTGATGTATGCTTGGATCAATTGGCTCAGTTCCGAACTCTCCATCTCGGCTAATTTCTCAAGATCCACCGGTGGCGGTGTCACGGGTATCAGTCTTTCGCCTGCAAACGATCGATGAGGATAATAGAAAGAAAGAAATACAAGAATCATCAACGAGTTATTATTCTGCAAAATTAAATCTTAATTTTTGAAAGTGGCAATTGGTTTAATCGATTTATCACTATTATTTTAACATGAGATTATTAACATATTATTTTTGTGTATATATATATATATATATTGTTCCGTTATTTACTTGATTACTTATTGAATCATTAATTCTTCATTTTTCATTAGTAATTAGGATTTTTTTTATAAAGTTGATGAACGTAGAAGATTCAACAATTAGAAAACAAATTCCTATACTATTTTTTTTTACTCTTGTTTTAAAATTAAACCAATAGTTTAAATTATTTCTCGCATTTATCGTGACTATAGACATATACATTATATGTCTCTTGTAATTGTGTCTATTGTAATTATCGATAAGAAATGGATAACAAGTTAATTATATGCTAATAATACTTTTCGATTCGCTGCGGTGCATATTTTGAGCTTCGTTACTGAGATGAAGAGTCATCCTTAAATGGTCGTTTTCGGTTTGAAGAGCCCCCACTTCACGCTTCAAACTTAGAATAAGAGCTTCGCGTGGATCCTGTAAAGAAGTGAATGTCGGGCATTTAAAAATCCCTTCTAAAATCTACTCGAAGCAAATGATCTTACCATCACTATAATAGGCTTCGTGGAGATCTTTTTGGCTCTCGCAGCGTATCTCAAGGTGTTTAATGTTTCGTTGGCATTCGAACGAGCCGGTGAAACGCAGGCAACCTAAATATGTAATTACCGATATTGTTAAAGTTACAATTGCAAAAACTGAGTGAATTGGAATTTACATATATGACTAAGTGTTCATCGAGGGTTAGAGTTGGATTGGAGTGTGGGAATTGACTAGTCACAGTCAAGTATTCCCCTCTTACAGTCGAATGAGAGGGGAATGCTAGACTGTGGTTGGTCAGTTCTTGCACTCTGACTCAACTCTAACTCTCGGTGGAATAGAGATCATTAGAACATTTATCGCGTAAACAATACTGGATAAAGTTTTTATGGAAACATCGTTACCAATCGCGAATTAATTTGCTACAAAAGTCCACTTATCAACTCACCATTAACGTGACGCCATTTCCAGCAAGACTGTCGGCCAAAAGTTTTGTCAATTTACTGTCCCGATAAGGAATATGACCACTTTTTCGTTTTCCATCGCTCAAGGAAGCAATACAGTATCCTATGAAAAATATATAAGTGACATTTATCTTTTTGCGAGAGAAAATCAAATTTAAAAAGTTAGAAACCTGGCGAAATTATAAATAAAAAGTATCGTGCTTTCCTCGGATGATTTTATGAAATGTACTACCTGGGAAGACTTTTTGTGAAAAACTTATTATTTTGTTTCACGACCGTTATCGCGAAAGTTTATCGATTATTTTCCATATATGGAAGGCACGTCTTTTCACATGTCAGTAATTTAATAGTCTAGCTATCGATTACTTCAACTATTCTAAATAATAAACGCGCTGCAATTTCAAAGTCAAGATCTAATCTAATTTTCTGATAAATGAAATATTATCGCTATTTATAGTAAAATGATAGTGAAGTGTGACGCAATTTCATTTATTATAGTTTACATCAGGGCTTCTTTGTGACTGAACTAAGTATACACTTGTAAATATACACTTGTAAATATACACTTGTAAAATAAAATAGATAATATATAATATATTTGAAGTTTGATGAAAGTGTGAAATAGAAAGTTTTAATGCAGTCCAGTGCAGCAACAAAAAACAAGCTTATATAGTATCGGTTGTAACATGAACAAGTTTTATTTTAATTGTCGAGTTATATAAAAAAAATTGTCGTTCTTTCAATTCGGATATCGAAAAATATTTCTAGTTAAAAGAACGATAATTTTTTCTAAACACAGCTTGATATAATTAATCAGGACTCACCTAATACCATGAGACTTTTGTTAATATTGTTCGCCTCTTCCAAGGTCTTGCCCTCGCTCTGGGTTTTCTTCGTCATTTCGCTTCCAGCAAGGTCCACGAAATTAATTTTGCCTTGTTTCGAAATAAATACACCGTTCTCCATCTATGACGCGAGAGATACTTATATTAGCCCTCGTTATAAATAATTAATTCGATTCGCGTGGTGAGAAATGGCGGTATAAAATAAATTGGCCGGTGATGGAGAAAATTAATTTTGTCTTGTTGAAAGATGAGTACTAGTTATTCGTATATTTATTGTTTATTAATTTTTAATGTAAGCGAATGATTACACAGCGCAAAATAGCGGTAAAATAAATTGAACCTTTATTAGCGGCTAATAAGCGGCAGAAAAACCGATATGTTATTCTGATATTTTCAACGCTTATCTTTGAGTGTATTTTCATCTTCGTCTCAAGGGAAATATGAATAAATACCTTGAAATATCGTATTCACTTACTGCTTGCTCAGAAGTTATATTTACAGTCAAAATCGAATGGCTTCTGCTGGAATATTCATTCATATTGTGCGTACCGATCGATCTATTTCTCATTCCTATAAAAACAACGATTATTATATACAACATTATAAACAACGCTTCACAATTTCCAATTGATTTCCAATGTCTGAATAAAAATAACGAGGTCTTCGCACAATGGAATTCTAAAAAAACTGTTAGATACAATAAATATCATTTAGAAGAAAATATAATTTTAGGTATTATTAATTATGATGTGTGCCAGAGAAAATAAAAAATAATTCGAAAATTTATAGGATGGAATCTTATGACTTCCATGGCAAGATTGTTTATTTTTTAGTCTTACCTTCTTCGAGAACCGCCAAAAGATCGTCCAGTTCCTCACATTCTACCGTAAAGAGATTCTCGACAAAGAATCCGCGCGTCTTTTTACTCCATCGAACTGCCAAAGGTTTTCTCGAAGTGCCAGGATTTAAGAGATCTATCACCTATTTATTTATTTAGTTTATATATTTATTTATTTATTTTATATATTTATTTATTTATTCATACTCATTTATTTGTATATTACTATCATTTTTATAACAGAATTTACTCTTTGCGACAATAATTATAACTTTTTTATTTTACACGTGTAAAATGAAAAAAAAAGTTTATCTTTTCTTGTGATAATTGAAAAATAGACGCTTATTTTATTGTATTGTCTACTTAGACGATACGTTATCGTTTAAAGACACAGACCTTCTCGTTATAGATTTCCAGGAAGGAAGCTTTCAGCACAAAATTGCACTTTTCGTGTTCTTGAAGGACTTTGAATAGGTAGACGAAGGAACGGAAGACCAGACCATGGTCCTCCGAGTACGGATCCATTTTGTCGAACTGTTATAAAAAATGATTAAATTAACTTTATGAATACAAAAGATACAATGTAAAAGTGAATTAGTTTAACAGCACACACACACACACACACACATGATTTAATATGTATATAAATTTAAGATCTTAATTAACTTTTAAATAAATAAAAATTCTAATATATGTTTTATTTTATCAAATATATTAAAATAATTGCAATCAGGAGACGCGGTAGTGGCTCCGGCCATGTTAAAAAAAAAAGACTACAAGTCTCTTATCCTGAGCCACCAAAGTCCATTTTTGGAGGGTGCATAACTACTAAAATATAAAAAATTTTGATTGTTATAATATAATAATAATAAGGCTCAATAAATTTAAAAAAGAACTGAACGAAAAAAAGGGCTATGAGCCTAAAAATTAGTCGTTATAAATTGGCAATGTCTCTGAACACACTAGAGAGATGACCATTCCCTTAATAGCACAGAACATTGGCTATACATTGGCTAAGATTGGCTAAATATTGGACCAATATTGATTTTAATATTGGCTGTACATTCGTTTCCCAATATTGCGCCAATAATTTGTGCTACTAGAGTCCACTCTCATCGCATTGTCTGACATTATACTGACATATATGTACATTATACTGACGATTTACGAGATACAAATCTGTTTTAATCTGCATATTACTGTCCACTCTCATCGCATTGTCTGACATTATACTGACATATATGTACATTATACTGACGATTTACAAGATACAAATCTGTTTTAATCTGCATACTATGTCCAGAAGTTCACATTGTTACTGACTACAACAGTTGTACAAGTTTCAAGTTATACTGAGCGTGTTTTTATTATATTAAATACTGTGAGTATTATTATAATAAGTTTTGCGATTGAGAGCAAATTACAATTTTTATATCCTAATTTTTCAATATCTTCACCATTTCATTTTTGTATTGTAACATTGATAATGATCCAACAGGGATCGAAACGTTTCGTTGTATGGGCTGTTTTGTTTATGTTTTATTGTTTATTGCCGACAAATTATTTTTATATTATAACGAAATGACATGTTTTTATTCTGTGACTTCTTAAAATTTCTAATTTATAACGACTAATTTTTGGACTCGTTAGTCCTTTTTCATTCAGTTCTTTTTTGATTATTATATATTAGTTAAATTGTGTTATTTAAAATTAAAGAAATTATTTTCGTTGAAATATATTATTACAGCATTCTTTCATTATTGCTAAATAAATAAATGAATAATTATAAATAAATATGAATTAGTTTATTAATATCAATTTTTTATAACGTTCAAATAAATGGATAACAAAATAAAGCTTTCTCTGTCTCTTTTTTTTTATGTTTCGAATTCTCTATATTTTTTACACAAGAAATAATTACGAAATATATATTTCAGCAAGATATTTTTCACATACGGTTATCTATTTATTCCTCAAACGTAGTTTTTATTGATTATTTGGAAGTGTTGCTTTTTATTTAGACATGACCTATCGAAATTTCACTGTTACGTTTAGTTGCAAGAAGAGACGTGTAACTTGAACGCATTATCTTATCTACGAAAGACAATCAACTTTAACCTTCTGACTAGCTATGTAGATATTGATCACTAACGTCACCATATTACGTATCGCATTGTCTTTTGCATTATGTGGACGAACGTGTGTGTGCTGCGATATGATTAAAAAAGCACCTCGCATAACTTGCGATTTTTTCCGTTATCGTTTCGAAGGGTTATTCAAAAAATATGGAAATTAATATTTAGGACGGAACGTTATGATGAGAATTTGTCATGTTGTTTATTTGCATTATTGCTAAACACAAAATAAAAATTACACAATTGAAAATAATTTTTAAAAAAGACCCATAACAAAATGGTGACTTCTTCGCTTACGAGTCTCGGAGGCCCAGTCAGGGTATGCGTTTTGCCACTTCCGGTCTGTCCGTAACAAAACACGGTGCAGCTAAAGCCTTCCACCGCCATTTCGATGAGGTTCTTAATACCGGAGTACTGCAGGATATCCTCCTGTGTAGCATTTGGCTCGAAAACGACATTGTATGAGAATACCTTCGGCTTTTTGTCACCGCTGCTCGTAATCGCGTCGCACTGCAAGATAAAAGACGTATTAACGTGTTCCGTTTTAACTTGACTATTAGAAACAAGTTTTAATGATGGCATGGAAAAATGTGTAGGCAAAACTTGACTTCAGAAATCGAAAGATGCAGGCCGAACAAAACGAGAGGACAGACCCCCCCTCCCCCCCACATAGCATTCTTTATCCAAAGTAAGACATTCTTAAACGTCTTTAAGACATAAGAGGACACTTCTGAATGTCTTTGGGACGTTCAGAAGTGTCCTCTTAAAGATTTATCCTATATGGAGATCATTTTATGGATAATACAATATTTACACTTACATATATCTGTCCATCGCCAGGAAAATGCACGGCCATTTCTTCATGGGATTTAATTTCTTTATTACTGAGCGGACGAATTCTATAAGAAAAAAAGAAAATAATATAGACGATAATAACTTTAAGTCACTTTAAATCAACCGATATGAATCGAACTAAATACCTGACGACGACATTTATATTATTTTCTGGAAGTAGATGCTTCGTTGCAATTATCCGCTTATCGCCGTCTATTAATCTTTCAATGCTGCCAGCCCTGAAAGAACGTAATAACGTTATCTTTGAGATATATTATTAATACGTATTAATGAAATAAATTCAATTTTTAAAGAACAACAATGATTAATAAATTCCAGACTTTACTCATATAAATATAATTTATCCATATAAAATGTTTAGAAAGCAGAAATTAAAGTAACTTAAAACTTTTATCTGTATCTATCCGATAAATAAATATTTATTATCTTTGAAATAAAAAAAGTAATATTATTCAATTGTTATTAAAAGCAATCATCTTTGAATACAGAGTATTGTCATTTAAACTCTATATAATTAAAAATCTTCCTATATAAAAGTTGTTGTAGTTAAAGATCTCTTCATGGACATTCTTTTATGTTAAAAAATGTACGTAGGACGTCAAGCACAGCTGTAGTTATTATCATCACGTGCATAGCTATCGTTTCTATTATTAAACATCACGACCACCGATCTAATTCCGTAAATTAACGACGTTCCATGAATGCGCAATCGTAAATGTCCGATACGGAAATGTTCAGTCAATCGTCCGATTGACCTCTAATCGGGCGGCCATCCCTTATAATTCATAAGACACCAATCGAACCGTATCGAGTCGCGAGTCGATCGCGTGTTTGGCCGCAATATTCAGGCGCGATTTCTTTTTCATCTGGAACGCCATGGCATTCCGAGAGACCTTCCTCAATGATTTAGAACAACGATGTTGGTAAATATCAGATCGTCTAATCGATTACACGTCGCAAACGGCGATTCTTGAGAAGTTCTCTTTACGGAATACGAAATATCCTGTAAATCTCGTACTCAATGTGTTTGCGTCATTCCATGCTGAAACTATTTCCTCGAATGGACGAATATCGAATAGCTGGACACGAAATGTTGCTTTGGTGATTACAATCTTTGAAAGACAATGCGATTTGCATTTGTCGTGATAACAAATTAGTACAATGACTCTCGCGCGCGGAAAGCAAAAATTATTCAGAATTATTGAAAGAAGACTTTCTATTCTCTCTTTCTTTCCTTGCAGTCGATAAGCGACATTGAACTATATATTATAAAAGTGCGTATCGGCCACGTGTATATGATTAATATAGGAAAAGACATCTACAAGGACGACTTATTCTTGATTTTATCTATCCGATAAATAATTATTTATTCCTGTTGAAATTTAAAAAAAAGGATAACATTTTATCGTTATTAAAGGTAATTATCTTTGAATACAAAGTACGTTGCGTTGCCACTTAAACACTATATAATTAAAAATTTCCTTATATAAAAGTTGCTCTTAATTAAAGATCTTCGCTTAGACATTCAAGCTTTTATGTACATAGTACATCGAGTCGATTAAAAGAACACTTCTCATTTCCTTTCTCTCTCCATATTTATATACGGAAAGAACTTGTGCTTAAGTATCTAAAAATTTAGTCAGATACAGATCTAAAAATAAATTGTTGCTATAACAATAAGTTTGAGTGTCATACATAATTATTTTGATGATCCAAACGAAATTATTGTATTTAGCTAAAGTTTTAAATATAGCAAAAGTTTTGTTATCACTTGCAGTGTATAGCTGCACTTACGATGTATAATTAGTTGTCTGAAAATAATTACGTAAAAACTAAAACGTTCAGGCCCGTATTTAAAACGCGTTTTTATGTTAGAGCGTATTTATAGCATATATCACTCACATATAATAAAACTTTAGACATAAATGCGCGTTTATTTATCGATAAAAGTGCGTTCTGAATACAGGCTTCTATATTTCACGTATTCTTTAAATTCTTTGGAATAGGATCTCACTTTAAAATAGCGAAAATTGAATCAATCTTAAAAAAGAGTGGTTCAATTTTCAATCTTTAAGAGTAAGATTTACTCTTAAAGTTTTAGAGAGTGCGATAGTGGGTACCAATTATACCTTCTTTTTAATTCAATTGATTTGCTTTAAACGGTCTTTCGTGATCGTCTAAGGGATTATACGAATTCAGAGTAGCAGCATTTCTCTTTGTATGTACACATACGCGACTCACATGCGAGGTAACTTGGTGCTTGTTGTTTTACAAGTAATTGTCGTGTCACATGTGAATACGGTCGCTCACGTTGGAACTGTTTGAACGATTTCTATAAGTCTTGACCGCAAAAATCGCTCGGTTCACTAGAAAAAAGGACTCATGTTGCCCTCGTTGGTGTCTTCCTCAATATTATAATCATATACACTTGTGAACGATCGATACAATGGATACAGTGGACATACGCATATTTACAATACAGTTCGACGTCGCTTATCGATTGCAGGACCTTGCCGCGCGACCTCCCATATAGTCGTAGTCGATATCACAATGATCACTCTGTATACATTCGTGTGTAATTATTTCGATATTATCACAGTTCGTCTCTTTTTTTCTTTTTCGTATACAACGCGAGTCATTGGAAATAGAACGCTCGAACGTCTCTCCTGGTGAATGTCAAGATATGGAAAGATACGCGGAGAACGCAAATTCAGATGACATATTGTAAACATTTTCAGCGTTCTAATCCAACGTTTAATGTAAATTATTTTATTTTACGTATATATACACAAATTCGCGGCTGCGTTTAAATGGCGGAGATGAGCTTTCATGGTCACGGCGAAAGTAGGTGTGAAATGAAATGCGCAATTGTTATTCAAATACAGTCGCGTGTCGATTGCAAATTCAGGACTGTAAAGAAAACATTAGCGTGATAGATCGTCACTCATATACTGACAGTGAGTGATATTTCATAAAATATTTATTAGTATGCGATTTGCGTGATATATGTTTGTCATAGTCTATCGGAAAATTGGGAAATTAAATTACTCAATTTTGGGTGCGGTCAAAGTCTCACTACAAATGCTTCGAGGCACTTGATTGATCAATCAAAGAATTAAAGCATTTATAGTATTACGTTGACTGTATATTTTGTGTGGGCTGATACTTTAGCATTCACTCATTCAATTAAAATAATTTAGTACCGCTATTATCAAAATATAACTACAATACTTATGGTACGTTAAACGTTTTTTAAAAGGCATTAAATTAAATTACACGAGATTAATTCAAATTGTAATTGAATTAAACAAATAATTTAATGTCCTATAAAAATAGTTTAATATAGATTAAAATATATATAATTTGATTTATATTTTATATATAAAATATTATGAATATGTGTTATTTCATAACAATATGAAATTGACCATACGAGACTGAGAGAAAAACAGTAATGTTCCATAATCGATAAGCAATGTCAAAGTGTATGATACCGGAAGCGTGGAAATGCCCGTGCGTGTGTGAATTCTTAGTATCGATGCGCGAACCGTGGTGGAGTTTACACAAGTGTTCTATGTAAAATCGAATAAAAGTGGCAAACGCGCGCGAGTTACTGTCCCTCTTGATAGCCGCATCGTGTGTCATCTTTGTCCCAGATCTTCCGAACGATTTCCAGCTAGGAGAATCTATCGTGTCGGCCAATTTTCTTACTTATTGCAGAACCGCGAATCGATAGAGAAATTGTGCGAAACCGTATAATCTCGAAAGTCAACTACAAATAAGCGTGAACAATAATAATACGCTAAATTATATATCACTAACACTATGTTGTAAAGCGCTACATAGTTTATTGATATACAAACTATCATGTTAATATATACTTGTGTACTAATAATCAGATACGGCATCACATCAGCCACTCAGCTTCAGCCTTACCTTTGCATGTTCGAGTGCCTATTATTTGTAATATATAGTTACTATTTCTTTGCTATTTTATATTGTCATCCATACTCTCAATAGAGCTATCATTATTATTTTAGTTTACTTTAATTATTAATATCATTCAAAAAGTTTTGAACTCTCTCTCTCTCTCTCTTCATATTATTTATTATTTACATTTTTATAGCTATTTTTCAATTATATCTCTAATTGCAATTTTATAATGAAATTATGCAATTATTAATTAAAATTTTATAATATGTATATTATTATTACTACTTGTGTAAACATTTTTATTTTATCTTAAGCTATTTTTAAGCTTAAGTGAAATATACATAATATGTTTTGTGACGTATTTTGCACTATCTTTACCTATCGGTTTCTCTTACATAAGTAAAATGTGGCAATTATTTAACGCAAATGCCACTTGATTATGAAATATTAAACATTGATTAAAACTGTCAATTTTAACTGACATATTTTTGCATAAAACCTACGTCGACTTCCGTGCTTACTTATTAATTTTGCATGTAACGTAATCATTCTGATATTATCGCGACAAATTAAAACGATAAAGCTTATAACGTTTCGATAATCGAATTTTTCGATCACGTATTTGCGCGAATGTAATATGTCACTTCAACTTGTCACGTAACGATTGTCGAAGCGGTTTTTCATGGAGCGTTTATCGTCTTTCCAACTACATAAATTGATACGTTATTCCGTTTCATTGTCAAGAAAATTTACAAAAAAATTATGCGAAAACTTGCAATACAAGTATTATTACATACGTTTTAATACAAACTAAAATACATATCACATTATTTTATGAAATAATTTGCAATACTTTTTGGCAAGTTTACAAAGATTTATATTGATTATTTGAATTTGTTGAAATAAAATTGATATATTAAAACATATAGGTATGTAATATAATTTTCGGATTAAACGTGGACATAAAAAATAACAGAAACTTATTATAATTTATTCATAAAGACAGAATACAAAATAAATTGTTAATTTCTGACTCGATCGCCTGTTATCTTCCTGTATTAATCTTCTTTTTCGACAATGTCTTTACCATTAACGCTTTGCCATTTCGGTCATATATTTTTCGGTCAAGCAAATTCACGGTAATTTTGTCCCTGGAGTTCAATGATACAGTGTCCTTCATGTCTATTATTAGGCAGGAAAATGTGATATATTTTATCAAAGGTATTGTACAGACGCCACAGACGCACAATTATTATTTCTTACCATGACTTGATGATGATATTACTTATAAGTTTATCGTTCGAACAAATCTTTCGATAATTATAATTATAATAATTTTCTGATATAAAGAATTACTACTTGCAGACTAAAATGTCAGAGGTCTTTCTCGGAAGAAAATTTAATATCTCTAAACCATTATTATTTATATTTGCATTTTTTTACAGTTTATCATCACAGGTAACTTTGGCAGTATTTTGCTATGTTATTTTCACAAGCATACATATAAATGCATGGAATGAACGATTTTGTTGACTAAAAATTTAGGTAGGTACAAATCGAAAAATAATTTTGTAAGATCATCAAAATAATTATATAAGATATTCAAGCAAAAAGTCTTAATATTCTCGCAACCAACTTGAGCTTTTTATATAATTATTCTGATAATCCAACAAAATTATTTTCAATTCTGTCTATCTATCTAAATATATAGATATTTCAACAAAATAGTTTTTCTTCGTGTGCAAATGTAAGAAAATAAATGTAGTAAAAAAATAAAATAAATAATAATTCATTAACGTGCGATTATAATTAAGACACCAGGCTTAAACAGTGGGGTTTTCAATGAATGATAATCTTTACGAACGAAAGAAAATGTGTGCCAGATAACGGAAATACCACCTATAAAACTCAGGCACAAAGCAGTCTAGATCGATTCGCGACTCGTTCGTTCCTCTCAACATACAGTGATATCTAGAATACTCACTCGTTACCCCGCGAGTATAATAGTACATTTTTCCCCTTTCCCTTGGTGTCGGGACCACCGCTCTTTCCTGGACTACTTCCTCGAGAACCAGTTTGCTCGGCGGGACTGTTTCCTCGCGAGCCCCGTCCTCCACCTCTTCGTTCTCTCGACCTGCTGTTGTTTCCATGTTCTCGTTGGGGGCTCAGGCCGCGCGTCGGAGACGGATTTTTCACCAGCACCATTCGTCAACCTGCCGGATCTACATATGTTGTCTTAGTATTAATTTTTACAATCAATAAGTAGCTGTTGATATAGTAAATGTCGCATTTCGAAAGTATCAATTTTACACATATATGTAAATTATATGTAAATATGTACAAATTAAATTTAATAAAAAAAGAATAAAAGGCGTTGAGATACTTTTCAAACAAGATGGAGATATTAGGGTAAACTGCTGTTTACCGTGAGATTTATCACGCTTATCTTATCGAGATCTTTCCAGTAAACGCGCAAATTTAAACATTTATGCAATCACTTGCGCATTCAATGGTCAGCTAATTATGGGCTTTTCGTGCATTGTGCTCGATTCGATTGCAAATCCTCGCCAAGCTTCGCTCGCGATGATAATTAAGGGTTATCGCAATTAAAGCGAAAGCTACCTCGAAACGCGCTCTAGAACTGATTTTTGTGGAAATCAATTTTTCTGAAAACTGAAATATAAATAAATATTTAAAAAATACGAATACGCATAAAATAGTAAATAATAAGTACACTTGAGATATTTGATAGACACGTAATAAATATAATAAATATAATAAATTCAGGAATAATAAAAATGTAACAATGCAACTTATATAATATAACTTATTATGACTAAAAAATCTATTCATTCAAGGTTTTTTTCCAAGCAAAATCTCTCAATTTGATTCCCGAATAATAAATTTTTCATAATTGAAGACTTAATTAAAATCGTTCTATCGAAGCATTGAAATCGCTGGCCTGCATCAATGCTTGCAGGTGATGGGAGATGAAATCATTTTTTCTCTTCAATGAATGATATCACCGTTCGAAGGTCATGTTTTACTATCTTGTTGAAAGTAAAAGCAAACAAGAGAAACTAAATGACTCCAATAAAAATATTTTGCACAACTCACATTAAAAGACAGACTTTTAATGAGTCTAACTCATTCGCGTCAAGAAAAGTCGCTCGAAATTAACGATCGATTAAAACTACAGTTTTATCTCTTGATTAATTTATACAATATCATTTTTCAGTATTATTTCTGCTATGGTAGAATTTATTATCTGATGAAAACGTCACCAATTGACATTTATTATCGGCTATTAATTCGCGATGACTTATCAAACTTTTCTCGTCTCGCGTATAGTGTATAGAGAAGAGATGTGTTTTTTTAAATAAATATTACAAATTTATATTTTTTAATAACTAACAATAATTATTACCAATTAATAATTTGCAATTAATAAATTATAATAATCGATGCATTAATGAATATTAATAAATATAATTGTAGAAAAATATGACTTGGGGAGATAATATCGGTCCATTATTTATTCATACTATCTATTAATCTTGAAGCAAGAATCATTATTTTCCATTTACTACTATTAGCCGAAAAAAAGATAAGTTCGAATTCGTTCGAATACCAACAAAACGCTTATCTCGCTCTAATAGAGCACATAGGACTTACATAATTGAAAAGATTACTTAGGCTACTTATTGAACTTAAATCCAACGTATAACGTCCTCGAGTGTATAGTCGGTAGATACAATCTGCCGACGGAAATGCACTTACATTCGCAATTTCATGTATCGTCTGGAAAATTCTTGGCACTTTTTCGAAACGCAACTAGCACACGATCACCCACACTCACCCCTGCCGAACAACGCGTGTTTCTTTCGATTCGGTTAAAAAAAACGCGATTCACCCCGTCTATGTTATCGAGTAAGTGGCTAAAACATGGGAGGCAAGAGACGTTTCCGCTGCGTGCAGTAGCAACAACCACCGGCGTCGTACTGACAAACAGGGGTGAGTTTTAACCTGTGGGAGGCCATCGAGGGGCATAGTTTTCCTATAGTCGGTGTCGCGTCGATCGAAAGCTACGGCTGCTCGTCACAACAACCACAGTTATTGCTATTAGTCACCGTCACTACCACCGCTGCAATTCCACCGCCACCCTCGCCTGCAACACGGTCATCGTCCACGTGGACTTGAAATTACGTCACCGCGAACTTGACATCGATGATAACGACGACAACGATAATGTCGATTAACAGTAGACACTTCGTACCCACTAACGTAATGAGTATTATTAATTAAAGTATATTTTCAAAAATAATATTTATAAGCTTGTATAAAAGAAAACTTAAGCTTGTCTTAAAGAAAATTTAGAACCAGATCTGATGATCCAAAATCCGGTTTATTACTTACAGGAAATTCAAGTGTCCTCCAATTTTCATGAGCTTTTTCTTATGAGAATGAAAATTTTTTAAATTTTAATTATTAAGTACTCTTAAAATCATTCAATTTTTATATTTCAAATATTCTTTTATCTCTTACAATTTCGATAATTTTGGAAGATAATAACCGATTTTCTTCAAAGGGGTGTTCCATACTGTAAAAGTATTTGAGTCCTTATTCTTTATTCTTGTCTAGAAAATAACATTTAAAGCTCATCAAAATCGGAGAAAAACATTCTTACTAGTTCATTATTTGGATAAAAAAAACTTAATTTATACATATTCGTTATCTTCTCTCGAAGAGGATCGCGTACCTCTGCTGGGATTAATACCCCGAATCGAATAGGATGAACGTCGTCTCGGAAATTTGCCGTCTGAACGGAAATTCGATGTTTTGAAAAGCGCAACGAGTGAGTCTTTGAGACACCTGACATCGAATTTCCGGAGTACACGCGTAGTGCATCACGGAGTTGAGTGCACTCGATTATACATGAGGGTCGATTACATCCGACGAGGGAAAATGTGCCCGCATTTCTATCCACCTTAGATGTGCTTCAAGAAATAGCTTCTTTGTGGATTTTGCACAACGTCAGATGACAATTCTACAATAATTTATAACGATACTTGGCGGCACGTTGATGTTGGTGAGGCAATGCGTTCAATTTGTAATCGATAGCATCGGGTCAATTAGATGTACTGAGAAGACTCTGGAATATTAGATTACAATCTGCATTCTAGTATTCTCAGAAGAAGATTAAGAACTTTAAAGTATTATTTTAAATTTTAATTCTAAGAAAAATATGAAAAATATGAATTTGTTATATACGCCGTGTATGTAAAAATCGATTCAAGTTCGAATAAAAAAAATCCAAACAAAACACTGCATATAATTTATATTGTAGAACTTGAAAATGATTTGTTTTGTCAGTTTTGTGCATACATATTTAATTCTGCGTGTATATAGTTTATCTTTGCACTTCTATATTTATAATACAAAAAATACGTCACACATATTGGTGAAGGTATTCTATTTATACATATATTTCTATTTTAAGAATATCAAAAATATTAAAAATATTCTATTGTTTACGAATTTATGTGATATTTTAATCCGTTATCTATGTAACAAGTGGAGCTCAATGACGTAAGGCCGATCTCCAACTTTTCAAGAAATTAAAGAAATTTAATTGTATATACATACAAAATAAAAATCCCCTTGAAAAAAAGTCCCCTTACGTCAGACTTGGTTGCAAGCGTCACGCTACGAGAATCCGCTCCAAGACCCACGAAACCCACGGCCCCGCCAGGACCCCGCAAGGTTCACACAGGGCACCTCGCGTGCGTCATATACACACGCACACCAGAAAACGAATTCCTCTCTCCTTCTCGCCGTTAAGTCGTTCAGCCGGCTGGCAGCCTGGCCTTCCTTCCTCTCTACCACCGCCACCTTATGCCACCGGGGCACCAAAGAAGAGAACTCTCCTTCAGACCGGCAGTTTCGTGTGTTACACCGTGGCGTGTGCACCGAACACCACGCGTATTGTGGTCGCCGTGAGACCGTTATCCAACGACAACGACGGTTTTCCCGCGAGTACGTCGAACCCGTCGTAACATCAGGGACCGTGACTTCTATGGCTTACGAATCGTCGGATCGTGAAACGCGATTCCGTGCGCCCCCGTTCTGATGGTGACCTGACGACGATGGATAAACACGCCGACCGTCTGGACTCGTGAGCCGCCACTGAACCCGAGAACGAGAGTACTTGAAGCCCGCGGAACGAAAGTGAGTACGAGCACTCCGTTTCTTCCGAACACGCTTTATCGCGGTTCACCCTATCGTGGAACAGGGCGAGATGAACGTGGACGCAAAGTCCGTTTTATTTTTCTTTTTATCCTCATTTTTCGTTCACAAAGATCACGCAATCGATAATTGATTACGTTAACGGCACTTTATACATATTTAATTAATCGACACGCAATTATATGCCTTAGACGAATTTCTTTAAAATACATGTAGATGTATTATATATTCCATAATTTTAACTTTGACTATAATTAATGCTTCTCTTATTTAGTTTGTAGATGTATTATATATTAAATCGATTTTAACTTTGACTATAATTAATGCTTCTCTTATTTAGTTGATGTATATAACCAGTTCTATTTTTAATCTTAATAATATTTAATTAATTTACATGAATAAAAAGAGTTAATCTGTCTTACGTTAATTTTTATTATGTTATATTATTATTGTAAAATGAAATAGGTATTTTTTTCTAGATTTATGTAATATATTGTCTATTTAATTCTTTGGAGCTGACACGATTACTGACTAAAATCTGTAACACGATTACTGATTTTTGCTGAGTCTGTGATCGTTTAATTTACTTAAAAACCACTAATTAATTTTAAGGAACCAAAATGACGTAACTCTTATAAAAAGATTGAATACTAAGTATATTTTAGTAAGAATAATCCAAATTTGTAGATGTAATATAAAGAAAATTGAGTTGTTTGACGATGAGATTTATAATTGAGTGGAATAGACCCGCCGGTGCCATCAGCTCTGAAGATTAAGAGAGATTTCCAACATATAAAATTAAAAAATAGCTGAAGAAATTCGATGGTAAAGGGACATTCAGTATCGAGAAAGATTTTCAAGAATTTAAAAGCGCTCCGGAATTTCTTTTTCAAAGGGTTTTCGCGTGACCCGCGAATGAATGTATCAATTACAATTTATACCATTGGCGTCTGGTGTGAGTCACGAGAGAAGAAAATCACGACCGCAACTCACTCTTATTGAAAGAACACACAATCGTCGCAGATGTTACGACGTCACGAATATATCTTGAATGCACTGCAATGCAATCGCGTGAATTCGTATAAAGTCATTTTCAGCAAATGATCGAGTTGATTACACTTTGCGCTGTTTGTTATCTTGATACATCGCTTGTTGTACAAAGTATATTTATATCAAGAATGCTAAGGAAAAGCACAATTCTGTTTCTTGTTACGATTTCATGTTAAATCGTTTAATAAACAGACAAAACTATCTCACAATTGGATAAAATTTAGCATTGAGATAATTTTTTATTTTAATATTAAAATAATAAGTGATATTACAACATAATTGCGATATTTATTATTGATGTTAAAATTTATTGAAAGCTTATCAAAGGTTTCGTGGTCAAGATATTTTTTGAAAAAGCTGCTAAAGTACGTATGTTTTGAAAAGCGCAGTAGTATGTATATCGTGAAACAGTTAAGAGAGTGTTTTGAGAGGAGCGACTGAATCGTTGTCCGCTTTAAGCGAAGGTTAACGGTTTTTAAACACTTTGATGAAGATGTCATTGGTCTAACCAAGGCTAGTTTTACGTCGTCGTGTTATTACATTTTAAGTATAGCTCGATGCTCACTGGAATTTATCGAAGGATATTGTCAGATACGGTACAATTCTTCAATATTGTCTGCCTATAGTGTTATTTTTATAAAAATAAAAATTGTTTTTATAGAGAGTTTTCTTGACCAGTTTGGAAAATTGATTTGTCCTTTAATTGATCACAAATTCATGATAATTTGTAAAATGATGTTAAATTTCACACATTCATACAAGGGTACGTGCTACATTGCAAAAGTGATAAAAAGAAAAATTAACGTTACCAACCGAAAGATGACATTTGAAATAGGTATTGGTCAAATGGACTAATAAGTCTCTGGACTCAAAATCTAAATAGGTTTTCTTCAAATCGTACACCTTTTATTTGAAACTTTTTTTTTTAATGCATTGGTCTCGAGATATTTTGTGTCAAATTTAAAGTGGCCAACGTGTTTCGGCCCAATCAAGTATAAAATTTATAGAATCCCATGAAGATTTGACTATCTAGAATGTCTATTTCAAACGTGATCTTTTGACTGATAGCGTCAGTTTTTTAATATTACTTTTGAAATGTAAGACGTTTCCTTTCAGACTCGTTAAAAAATAATTTTTTTTCAAAAACATCTTTGAATTAATACATATTATCACGCTGCAGCTTGTAACTGTTACGCAATGACAATAATTTAATCGATGATCTTCCGCATTTTACGCAGGTCGATATGTCGTCCGTTAACAATAAGTGGCTCGTAGAACTCTCCTCAATTGACACGGGATTCTGCGTAAATAATAGTCTAGAATCACTGAATTATCTTTCTGAGAAGTGACGACTCGTTAGAGGTAGAAACACCGCAAGAATTCGGTCGATCTATTGTCTATCGGATTGTACGTCGCGTGCTCGTGGGATCATCGGATTTCATTCAACGCGTGTATACTCGTTAGGGTGCTCGAAAAGGAAGCGGGAGAAAGCGGACCTTCCTTCTTTTTAAGACAAAAGCAGAAATCCGATCCCCGCTCGCTGTGAAAGTGACGATTAAACCATTTTAGATGACGCCGTGTCTATGAATAACAATGAACGGGGGAATGAAATATGGGCTCGTAGAGTTATGTTCTTTGTAGAAACAGAACCGAGCCGGATGAGGAACTGCCTCCACTTTATTCTCGCCTCCACTCAACGCTGTCTCGCTGTTTCACACTTGCGTTACCAAACGTACGTTCAACAGTTTGACGGAACTGCCTCGGGGTAATTAACTTTACCTGACCTCATATTTTATTCAAAACTGAGAATCTCAATAAAGAGACCACAGACACAGAATGTAGACACTTATAAATTATGTAACAATTA